GAGGTGGGAGGGAAGTAGGATAAGATCTAATTATAGTCTGTTGTACCAAAACAATTTTATTATTGATATTTGTAATTTCTTTTAAAGATGTTGAGGATCATTTGGCGGTGTGAGTATAGGTGTTTTTACTTTATTTTAGGAAAGCAATAACAACTTGCATTTATATAGCGCCGTCACACAGGAGAGCATAATGGAGCACTGCACAGTAATAGGGTTGGACACCGAGAAAGGGAGAAGTGGGAAGGGGAGGTGACCATAGGTGCAGTCGAAGAGATGACTTAATAAGGTGAAATTTAAAGATAGTCAAAGGGACGATGAGAGATTGCGGAGGGAGTTCCAGAGGTTAGGGCCCTAGAGGCTGAAGAACCAGATCCTAAATTCCATGGCATTGTGTATCCAAGTCTTGCTTTCCAAAAGGACCATCCCTCTTTGGGACGTGCTCCCGACATGAAAGGCGCTCTATAAATGTAATTTTGTTGTTATTGTTGTTTAATGCTTTTTTAATGAGGTGCCTTGAAGTGATAGGTACACACAGGATTCTCCAGTTGGACGGGGAAGCTCTTCCTTGCTGTTGTCTCTCAAAGAACCAACCCACTTGAAATGACATGCTTCCCTACCAAAATAGTAGGAAAAACTATGTTTACGCTTACAGGACAACATTGACAGAAGCACAGAAACAGTTCCCCTGCCTAGACTGAGTCACAAAATGGTTTATGGTACATTGGAAAAAAATAATTGAAAAGGAGTAACAAATAAAAATATATGATTACAATGCAATGGGAATAATAGTGGACTGATGGCGGTTTGGGCCATTGCCAATTATTATTAGTTTGTCTCGTGATACAATTACTGTATGTTGTACAGCATTGTTCGTACTTAAGACGCGTTTGTTGTTTGTTATTTGTATCCCACTAGTGGAAACTTATAATCCTTGTTTGGGTTTACTACTTGGTTAGGAGCACCAGAGCAACGTTAACTGCAAAGCTACTCGTAATGGGGGCTCTGAACAACTTCAAGGACAACTTAACAGTCACAAACCGAATAGTATCAACCCCGAAGATTAATGTTTAAAAGTCCTTTAGTTGCAAAGACATCTTACCAACCTACATCAACTGGTGCTTTTCTTTTACCAATGTGCTTGCATTTGTCACCAAATTTAAGCATGTGCCGGTTTAAACTTATATATATATATAAACTTGTATAACCACTGTATAAACTTGCCCCAGTCTTTCTCTCAGACTGTAACCACATCTCACAGAGCAATACTCAAAATCTCCAGTAGAGCTCATCACATTGAATGCGTTATTGCATGTTTGCTGCATCATATCCAACCTCTGCCTAAATAGACCCAGGTCGATCCCGTATAACCCATAAACACACTGTACATAAAGGAGCTGCATTATAAACTAGAGATGTGCTGTTAAACGAGTACTGAGGCAGCTCATGTGATATCCAGAGTCACTTAGAGAAGAGACTAATACCGTTTAAAGAGGTGTCGGCGCATTTGTGCGCTCACGCACTGAATAATGTTCTTTCTGTGGGGGGAATATCTACTGAAAGGTAAAGGAGACGGTTTTAACATTCCTGTTGATAGTTAACAGGGTGAATAAGTTACTGCGAAAGAGATGGGAAGAACGTTTAATGTGATAAAGGAGGGTTCCCCCTGCAAGTGGATATCACTAATAACTAGACTCACTGAACCTCGCAAAGTGCATTAGAGTTCATTACTCCAGGTAGGTTTTTCTAACGCAATTTTAAGCACAGCTGCACAAGACTTCCAACACTTCGTGGAATTATAATAAGATCTCTAGTATTCAGTCTCTTGTAAACTCGGTTAACCACAACCACATCAGCGTACTTTAAATAATTAATATTAATTCATAAATTAATATTCGTGAAATAATATTAATACAGCCTTGACGTAATCTAAATAAACGTTGGCGGACATCTATCTAGAAACAACGCAGGTACGCTTTTACTATTGAAAATATGTTTTACTTTAAAAATAACCTTTTTGTGTCAGCGACGTGACCAATAGATATACGGAAACCCATCACTGTTCTTAAATGATATCAATAGGTAATGTTGAACCTTTTTAGTGCTTACCTTATCGCTACTGTAATATCAAATGACTTTACAACTTAAGAGGTATGGTTTGTTTTTATTTCATTACAAACTGGTGATATAATATGTTAAGAATAAATAAAAACGTTATTGAAATTAAACGAAGGCAGGTACAGGACACAGCTCCAGCGAATACACTCTGCATATATTTCGGATACATTTGAACCAGTGTTTCAATCGCTCTGGTTTCTGATTCTCTTAGTTTAACACCACGAGGAATAAAATTCAACAGAAAACATTAAGTTTTTTTTAAAAATGCACCTTTTACTAAACATTAATAATTTGATCATTTATTTATTGCAACCTCAACGATACGAATCCCGGGGCTTAAATTCAATTTAATTTCAGCTACGGGTGAATAAAATGAATCAGTCGAAGTATAACATTGTACAGCATTGCATTGACAGAACGATTTCCTGAACTATAAGCCTCCGTCTGCAATCACTGTAAATGAAAAACTGTGAATGAACTACAATAACAAACTCTAATGGGATTTTCAGCAGGAATTTCCTCTGAATCAAGCAGCAATCCAATGTGTTACTTATATAATCACTTTCTGTGAGAGCGGGGTGATCTATAAAACCATTTCAAACTTTGTGTGGACTATATAACACTGACAGTATTACTAAACATTGTTGTTATTTTATATGTGGTGACTACAAATGCCCAGCACCCTTCAGATACCATTGTTTGCATGCACGTTAAGATGTGTTATTCTTGCAACCTTTTTTTTGTCTAATGGTTCTAAAATGGAAAAAAATGTTTTATTATTACTTAATCAAATCATGCGGAGGACGCTCGATCCAAAAGCACCAGTATTTACTGGCAATGTGTGACAGAGTTCTCTTTGTGTTTGCTTATCCTCTGCTGTCACACACTTTAATTCGCTCTTCTTTGTCATTCACTACTTTCTACAAAGAGCCTCAATAAGGTTCAGCGTCTGAAAAACCTGTTTATTTTTATATACTATTTCAATGTACCCCAGGGACTTTTAACGTGACATTTAGCCACTTATTAATGGACAGGGTGAGATGAACCACATGAACTTAACGTGCAATCGATATCACAGTGCGATTAAAACTTTTTTTGAAAAAAAATATTTCTTCGATGTGCATGAATAGACCGAAGGGATGGGCTTGAGCTGAGAAACATTACAAAGCTTAACAATTTCTGGGAAAGCTTTAACACTCCCGTGTGCAAGGTGTATTATAGTCATACTATATGCACACATAGACAACTCTAACAGTTGTCAAATGGGGACTTTGAGGAATCAAAATAGCCCAAAATACCAACCTGTAAATCTTAAAGTAAAATGAGCACCCTCATTTAACAGCAGAATATTGGGTTGCATATTTGTATTGTCATATGAAATGTTTTCATTAATAAAACGTTGCTTATTGATTCAATACCGCAATTGGAATTACAGATCACGCAACTGCCCATTCATTTAGATTAAAATAATGCCCTTATATAAACCAGTCAGGATAATGCACAGCCAAATAATATTACTTGCGGTATACGAATATGGATAAATAGTGTTGTTTAATACGACACCTGCACTAGCACAGAATAGTGTGTATCGATCGCCGCAATGCCTCATTTGTTTGTAGCCTTTGCGGTCAGATTACAAATATCTGCACATTGTTCAGAATACTTTAGTTGACAGAGGGGAAGATTTGCGGTGAAACAGAAATTGGAATCGCATCAGAAATGGGACGATATTGCAACAGTATTCGCTTCTGATGTCCGAGACGAGGTCTCTCTCACAGTTCACGAGTGTTTGCAGAGTCGGTGGATATTCCAGTTGTTTCCCTGAGGGCATTACTTGATGGTTGTATAAAAAAACGCCCCTCTGAGAGTTTCATTATCTCTATAGTTGGACTCTCTTTCTTCTCCCACACTCTTACTCTGCAGCTGGGTGTTTGTTTACCTCTTGAGTCTGTGAAGGGTCTGGATTCAGTGTCAGTAAATACCGTTTATTTTACCCTTTGTTCGCCGATCAGTGAGAGCAGGTTTTTGGCTCTGTTTCTGCAGAAAGAATGAAAGACTGAGTGAGTGAGGAAGTGTGTGATAAACCATCGCAGGACGAGTTAAGGTGAACTAATAGCTAATATATTGTCACAAAGTAAGTTTCAGAGAAACAAGGGGGAACTTGATATATTTTTACAGGAGTAAGAGAAATCAAAAATCTAATAGATTCATACAGTACAGGACGGGGGGGTGGTAGTGGGGGGGGGGGGGGGAGGGGGGGGGGGACAGAACGATATATGAATTAAAATCCGAGAGAAATTCTGAGCAATAAATAACACGAGGAGAGAAATAAAATGTGATTAAATGGGGGAAAGGGAGAAGCGAACGGGCATAAAGACTGATGAGGCAAAGAAAAGAGGAGAGCGAATGGAATGATGGAGAGAGCAGGGCGAATAAAGAGATAAAGGAGATGTACAGACATTGGGGTGAGACTGGATGGATAATGGGACACTAAAAGCTCCAAAGAGAAAAGCGAGAGAGAGAGAGAGAGAGAGAGGGGGGGGGGGGGGGGGGGGGGTGGGGGGGGGGGGGGGGGGATGAAGGCAAAGCAAAGAGCGTTGTTTAGCGTGTGGGTGGGGTTGAGAAGAATAAGGGAACATTATGCAGTTCATTTAGTTAACAAGTGAAATAAAAGGGAAGCGTGCAGAGTGAATCCAAACCGAGAGAGCCACAAAAAGCCCATTGAGAGCACTGTGCCGCCAGTGGCGTAACCATCACATGGCAGCCCCAGCCCCAAAGTATTTAAGGAGCCAGTCCAGCAGCTTCAGCACCACAGATACCTCCAACAACTTGGCTTCCCGGCGACTTTTCGTCCTCCTGCAACCGCGCCGGACACTTCATCCAAAATGCCCAGATCCTTCCTCGTGGACTCGCTCATCGTGAGAGACTCGAACGAGAAGGGCTCGCCCGGGGTGTACGAGGCGAGCACACCTATACTGCCTTACGCCGTGCACCCGTCTCACTCCCTGGCTCTCTCCGCGGGGGCCTGTCACACTCGGAAATCCGGGCTGCTCTGTGTGTGTCCACTGTGCGTGACAGCCTCTCAGCTCCATCCCACCCAGCCTGGCATCCCCTTCCTCAAGGCACAGCTGCCCGCCTTCAGTCCCCAGTACTGTCACTCCACCCTCAGTAGGCATCACAGAGCAAATGGGATCAATATGGACCACGGGGCCAGCATCTACTCGGCAGCGTATCCCGTGGCAGACCCGAGACAGTTTCACTGCATCTCTCTGGGTGAGTACACAGTATCCATTACTGTCGTTCCACTGCCACAACGACCTGCAGTTATACAGCGCCCCATCACGCAGGGGAGCGTCCCAGAGCGCTTCTAACCTGTTCCAGCTTGAATCTGTCTCCCAAGTCTTCCCACCTGTTTGTGTGCGGTGCTGTTGTTAGTTATTGCTTGACTGCAATCCAACATTGACTGGTTTGAGTTACAAGTGTCTGTCCACCTGGTGCACATTGCTGCAGTGTGGAAGAGCATGTCCTGATTCCGTCAATCTCAAATTGTCACGGAAATCAATGCAATACTCGCTCTCAAACCAACCTGACTGTGTGTACAGTTCTAATATCTACAATATTCTGCTACTTTTTTTTAAACTAAACTCCGCTGGCCTTTAAATTTTAGTTCATAATAAATTGAACTCCTATCCCTAATGCAACTGTTCAAGCAGACTATTTTCAAGCTAAAAGGAAACGTTCATTTACCCGTTATACTCACAGAGGATATTAAATGCATAGAGCCAGAAACTCGTGCTGCGTTCTGCTCACTATACATATCCAATTGGGACAGGATGCCCTGACTGGCTATTTCATAGTCTGTAATGAAATGATTAAAGAAAACAAAGAAGTCGGAGTTGCAGAAACTTCGCTGCAAAATCCCTTCCCTTTCACAAGCGACGATAGTGTAAACCGCGCCACTCCAGGGTCAATGCAAAGTGGTGTGAATTGAAGATGTATGGATTGCGATCTATAAGTGTCTTATTTATTGTTTCCCCAGCTTCAGACACCAGCTCCAGCCAGTTGCAGAGCAGCAAGCGGATGCGCACAGCTTTCACCAGCACACAGCTGCTGGAACTGGAGAGGGAATTCGCCTCCAACATGTACCTGTCCCGACTGCGCAGGATTGAAATCGCCACCTACTTGAACCTGTCCGAAAAGCAGGTGAAAATCTGGTTCCAGAACCGCCGCGTCAAACACAAAAAGGAAGGCAAGAGCGGCGGTGCCCAGCGATCCCCTCTGAACTGCAAGTGCAGCTCCCTGACATCAGCTCGGTGCCCCGAGGCTGAGGAAGAGGTGCCCATGTCACCTTCCTCTTCTGGCAAAGACGAGAGGGATCTGTCAGTCACCCCCTGATATATATATATATATATTATAATAAGACTGTTGAACGCAATTCTCTACGAGGAATTACGGAAAAAAAAGGCTATTACTGTCTTTCCTCTCCTGTTATCATTACAACAACATATGTTAATAATGTTTTTTTTAAAAAAACAAAAACAAACGTGTAAATAAAGTTCTAGTGGGTTATCCAGATTCGACTTTCCCAAACGGTTCCAGCAGGGAGACTGACAAGATGTGATCCGACAGAGGGTTGGCAGTGTGATATGTAATTAAGTGTATAAATCAAAAAAAAACAATTCTGATCGTGACTTTTTTAAGTCCTGTATTTGGTTGGTTTGTATGTACTTGATGATATTTATTTATTTATGAAAAATAAAGATTTTTCTTAGATATGTGGTACTTAGGTGTGTTATTACCAATAGGAAACAGAATGAACCTCTGGATTCTGTGGGTTCCCCCGAGCGCACACAGTTTAACATCACCAGATAGTTTCTAAACCTTGCACATGCTGCTTTTGTTGAAAGCCCAGTAGGTTCCTCGGTTAAATGCCAAACATCTATAAACAACATAACAACGTAAAGGAAATCTTGGGAACCCGTGAAAAATGCGCAATTGGTCGACTTACAATTGTATGTTTGTAGAAGACGCCGTATCACGTTAACAGTTAACAGTGAAGCGTATATACAATATCTGAATAATCACCAATCTTCTGGCAGCAACAATCATTCTGATAAGTGAGTGTGACTATTTTATACACACACTGTTATCTGCTGGTAAGGCTATGAGCACCATTGTAACATCAATGCCAACATCTTAACAATGCAGTGGTCTGCGGGGGTGGATGGATCTCACATAAGGCTTTGTGATTGTGTGAGTGACTTGTGTGTACATTAGCACTGAAATGGGATTTTAACTCAACACTCATCAATACATCCTAACTCTAAAACGCATAAAACTCTTCATGCCTCGGTAGCACACTGTTTACCGCGAGGAATAAAAATG